GGGGGGGGGCGGGTCCAGGTTTGGTCCCCAGGGAACTAGATCCCGGATGCCCCAACTAAAGATCCCGCACGCGGCAACGAAGATCCCGTCTGCCACAAATAAGACCTAGCGCAGCCAAATAAACGAATAAATAATTTTTTTTTTTTAAAAGCAGGACAGTGCGTCTCTGGACTGGGGGTCAGAGGAACCGTCTGGCCACTAGGCTTTCGCCCCAGTTCTGCATCCCCTGAAGTCTTGCCTGGGATCGTGAGCGTCAGTTTCTAAATGTCTAAAATGGAACAACTTCTCAAGTTTGTGTGTATACCACACCAGGCAGAACCGGAACACAGAGCTTGCCGAAAGAGACGTCGGCTAGCAAAAACACGTGGCGAGCAGCTTCAGGGGCTGCATTTTGAAGTTTCTGTAGGAGAAACCGTGGGCCCTAATGGCAAAAATATAAGCGTCTTTTCAGGGGTGATAAATACGCGAGTCTCCGGGCTACCCTTCAGCGGGCTCCCCCAGGCCTCGGACCTTCACCTTCCAAGCCCACGATGCCCACGGAAACCCTACGGCAAACTCCTTTCAATTACACTTCCCGCCCCACGCCGGCTCCAGCGCAGGGCCCCCAAGAGACCCACACCCAGCTCCCCTTGTGCGCGTGCGCACCGCTGGCTTCTCAGAGGCCCGCCCGCCACACCTCCAAGCCGCAGCCCACCCTCAGCTCAGCGCGTGCGCGCAGCTCCCTCCCCCCCACCAAAAAGCCCCCAGACCCGCGCGTGCGCAGAGCATCCTAACAGGATTCCCCACTTCCCACCGGGGTTCAGGGCCCGTGCGGCCCCCACCTCCCCCTCTTCCGACCCCAGGCCCCTGAGCCCCGCGCATCCCGCCAACGGCGCCCGGGCGCGCGCCGCCGAACCTTCCTCTGTAGCTCCCAGGCGCTGATATAGTTCTTGCCCAGCTGCGCCGCCAGCAAGTACTCGCCATTGAGCAGCGCCAGGCCGCGAGGCCCGGCCTGGCCGCCGCGGTATGTGAGCAGATTGGCGCCCGAGTGCAGCTCCCACACGACGCAGCTCCACAGCTGGGCCGCCGAGTCGGTACACACGGCCACCTCCACGGGCGCCGCCATCATGCTTTCTCCACCGCCCAGGACATGCGTCATCACCAGCGAGACGCGGGCGACGGCGCCCTGCCGGCTAGAGCGGTGCCCACGTTGCCCGGCTCGCGGCGGCTGGCCGACCCGAGCGTGCGCACAGGACTCGGGGAAGGGGCCCTGTGAATCAGGCGGGCTCTTCTTTCCCGCTCCGCAGAGAATCAAGGGGCGCACAGCCTGGTTAGAGATCTTGGAAGGAGATTTCTTCCAAAAATAGATGGAGAAACCCAGGCCGAGGGTCTCCTGAGAGCAGTTAGTAGCTTCGGAGCCTGGAGGTCTGGCTTGGCCATTTCCACTGGGCGCTTTTGGTCAAGCACTCAACCTCTCGGATGATGATTTTTAACGTGCGTATATTGAATACCGACATCACAGGCCCGAATGAGACATTGCACGTAAAACAGACTACGTACCTAACATAACAGGTAGCTAGCTGGTGTTCAAGACATAGTTAGACGCATATTCACGGATCCATCGTCCGCCTCCCCCGGACCTCTCTTTTTCGGGGGCCACAAAATCCACATTTTTATTTCGGCAACTTGGTGCGGGTCGAACAAGTCGCGAGCTCTGTCCGGGGAACACCCAACAATCTCGTGTCAGCGCTGCCGGCCGCAGGCCACGTCTACAAACTGCATTTTAAAATGTGGAATATTAGTTGCTAACCTTTGAAAAGGGGGAATTTCGCTCAGGAGTCGCGGTCTCATGGCTGTCCTGGACGGCGTACCCACAAGCAACACTGGGGAGACTGGGTGCGGGGTGCGTCCCCCAATCCCGCTCTGCCATCCGGGAGGGGATGGTGGAGAGGAGAGCGGAGGAGGGGCCTTCCTGGAGGAGGAACGGCGCCCGGAGCCTGGGGCTCCGGAGCCCCAGGCCCGGCCGCCAGGTGGCAGGCTCGAGCCACCGACCGGGATGCCGCTCGGAGTTGCTCCCAGCCCAGGGGCCACAAGGCAAGAAGCAGCAACCGGGAGGAGGGGGGGCCTGCCTGATCTGGAGGAGGGGCTTCCCAGAGCAGGTGTCCTTAGAGCGGGGACTAACAACCTGAAGAGAAAGAGGGGCAGAGGTGCGTGCAAAGGCCCTGAGGCAGATCATGGAGGGGGGAAGCTGGATATGGGGACCTGGATTTTATTTTATCCCCAGCAGGGTTGGGGGGGAAGGTCATGTGAAACTGAAGAACTTTTGGGAATTGGGGAGAGCTGGGTGTCCAAACCTCCAGAAGCTGCCAAAAGGGGACACTGAGGCAAGGACCATCTAGTCCAAAGACGGATTGGAGCTAGAACCAACTGTTCCTGATTTCCGCCCCCAGAACCAGCTGATGCTCCCTCCCTGCTTCCTCAAACTTTTTTTCTTTTTTTCTTACTGCGAATAAGAAAAATGAAACACCTTGAATGCTAGTTTACATTTTTCAGATACTGTTTTCCCAAAACCACATCTTTCTTTGAATCCTGAATCCTGGGCATTCTGTGGAGCCCCATTTGAGAATGAGCACACTCTGCGACCCCTGGGGGTGGACCAGGGCAGCCTTCTTCTAGCCACCAACTCAGGGCTTGAACCTGGTCTTGAGCAGCGGAGCAGGTCACTGCACAGCTCTGGGCCTCAGTTTCCCCATGTGCAAATCAGGGATGCTGATTCGAGCCCTGAGTGTGTGTCCTCATCTGCGGAGGTCTGGCCTGGAAGTTTCCAAGCACCCAGGTTCCAGGACGCAGGGTGGGCCCTGCAGGTGCCGGTTGCAGGGGGACCAGTTGTGCAAACAGAAGTCGCTGCTGTGGTCACTCAGGCAGGGGCAGCCCCTGGCTCTGCTGGAGGGCGGGGCAGCTGGAGTGCTGGCCCGGCCCCCTCCCAGGCCTCTCCCTCCACTCCTCCTGTTTCCCCTCCGCCCCTCCTGGGGGGACCCAGCTCGGCCAGGCTGCTGTGTGAGGTCAGAGGTCACCCCACCCCCAGCCCGGTTCCGGAATGAGGACAGACCAGTTGTATCAGAAGGGCAGGACAAAAGCCACACTTTGGGGGCCTCTCGGACCACCCAGTCACCAGACCTCCTTGGTGCCAGGCTGGTTCCTGGTCCTAGACCCACTAAATCCTAGGCCTGGAGGGCATGAGGCTGGCGGCAGGAGCAGGATGGGGAAACTGAGGGACAGAGGTCTGCACAACCCCTCCGGGTCTAAGCCCCGCATTCTTCATTCCATACACATGTACTGAGCGCCTCCTGTTTGCAGGCCCAGGGTACACTGCCCCGTCTCACCCCCTGCCCACCTGGGGCGGCGGGGACCCAGGAACAAACCCAGCATCCCTGGCCTTTGTGGGGCCGCCCCGTTAACTGCACTAATGGCGGAGGGGAAGGCGGATGGCTCAAGTGAAAACCCTCTTTTTCCGGCGTCCTTTCATCCAAACCTGCCTTTGGCCCCTGGTGGGCTCCCGCAGCTCTGCTGATCAGACATGGTTTTGAGTTTCACCTGGGAGGCTCCCTGGGCCTCCTCACAAGCACAGAGCGGGAGGCCCAGCAGGCGGGAGCTCCTCGGGGATCTGGGAGGCTGGGGAGGAGGTGGCGGGGCCCGACCCCCTCCCAGCTTCCCCCCTGCCCCAGGGCTGTGTGACCTCAGGGCCTCTTGCCCCATCTCTGGGCCTCTTCAGAGGAGGAATGAAGATGCTGGACAGGCCGATCCAGTTTGCTGAATGGGCCTTTTTAAAACAAAAAAACAAACAAAACAAAAAAAACACTTTCCCTTTACCTCCCTGGGGGGAGCAGGGGGCTCTGAGGGGCAGGTGGGTTGACCCCTGTCCTCTGACCTCTCCCGGTCCCCTAGGCCCTTAGAGGCTGGAACCACAGGGATGGGCCACAGGGAGGCGTCTCCAACAGGAGTGAGTTGTTTTTCCTCACTCAAGGCAGACCTGGGGGCTGACTCCGGCGGGAGGGACCAGCCCAGGCCAGCCGTGGCCGGAGCAGGTGGCAGGGGAGCCATGTGGCAGGAGGCCCGCCCTGCCCACCATCCGGCCACGCTGACCTTGAGCCCGTCACGTCCTCTGGGCAGGGGGTGGGGTCAAGACATGGCTGAGGAATAGATGCCCAGAAAATCTTGCTGTGCTGGTTTGCCCGCGTGTGGGGTTTCCCTTCCACGTGTGCTGAGCCCAGGGGTCGCAAATTGCCCCGAGGGCTGAGCCCGCCCCTTGGTCTGCTTTCTTTGCGGCCACAAGTCAAGCGTAAAAATGTGGACTGAACCACAGCAGGAAGGCTGGGGGTTGGGGGGGCAGAGTGGACCCCTGTCACGGCCAAGACTGCTTGGGCTGCTCCCAGTGGGCGTGGGGCAGCTCCGTGGATCTCACCCACAGAAGGTCAGGGTGACACGACCCAGCACTGCTGACATGGGGGAGGGTCGTCCTCTGTGGGCCCCCCCGCCCCCCCCCCAACTCGATGCGCACACATCCCTGGACGTGGCCCAGTGTACCCTGGGGGGCACAGTCCCTGCTGCCAGGACACAGGGTGGGGGTGGGGCGACGCCCAAAAAAACACCACAGGAGCCGTTCTCTGTTAAAAGTCAGAAGTGTTTTGTCTTGTTTTAATATTTCATCAGCTTTACAGGGTTACAACTGTCTTAAATATTTCTGAAGTTTAAATACAATCTGCATAATAATGTTATAAAATGTAAACTTTCAGTGTTCTTTTAAATTTCAAAATCACACCTTTTTTTTTCTTTTTTTCTTTTTTTGGTCTTTTTTTTTTTTTTCCCTCCCTTTTAATACCTGAATGTCCTGCAAAAACTGAAATAAATCGTCACAGCCTGCCCCGCCGCGGCCAGGGTGCGACAGGCTGGGGCCGGCCAGAGGTAGAGAGTAGTTTTACATCTTTTTATTAGGAGTTTTTTTTTTTCCCTTTAACCTGAGTTCAGGCGCGGTCCCCACGCCCTCTGACAAACCCCAGAGAAACTGAAATTTCACATGTCAGGAATGAAAGGCTGAAGTCGTGTTTGCCAAGAAAAAATGCAGAAGCAAAATTAAGAGGGGGAAGAAAGAAAGGATGGTAGTGGGCAAAAATGCTACCAGTGAGAAAAGGGGCTGTACAAACGCACAACTGTTACAAGCCAACCAGCCCCCCCACCACAGCCAGCCCATCCACAAGCATCTCCAGAGCAGGGAAGCCCCTGGAGCCCCTCTCCACCCTGAGTTTGGGGGTCCCCACCCTCAGCATGCTGCTAAGCCCCACCTGTTCTGGAATGAACAGCACTCAGCCCCCATCCCCATCCCGGTTTGCATAAGGGGTGCTGAGCAGCACCCCAGAAACCCCCACTGACAGGGAGCGGCGGGGTTGGGAGCGGGGGGGGGGAGGCTGATGGGGGCGCCCCAGTCAGAGGCAGGGCCCCCTGGGGGCTGAGCGCCCCCTGGCCCCGGGCCCCCCTCGCGTTTCCACGGCCGGTGGACTCCCCCCCATCCTGGGCCCACGCCCCCCCGACCCCATCCCCTACAATCATCAGCGTCGCCCAGCACCGCAGGCACACCCTGAGTTAGACCCGGGGGAAGGCGCCTCTCCTGCAGGACACCCGCTCCCAGAGACACACGTGGATCTCAACAGGACGCACGGGGGTGGGACCCTGAGCCGGGGGCTGGGGGCTAGGAGGGGTGGGCGGCCTGGCGGGGGGTTTGGCATCAAAAGTCAGACCTGAGGTAGAAAGAAACTCGCAGCAGAGACCCCCCCCTCCCGCCCACCCACGCGGCTGGCAGAATGGGGGGCGGGGGGGGCAGAGGGCAGCCGCCCACGCTCCTGCGGTCAGGTGAGGGTCCTGCGGTCAGGTGAGGGTCCTGCGGTCAGGTGAGGGGAGAGGAGAGGGAGAGGGGGTGGGTGATGGCGAGAGGGGGGCAGATTGTGTCTGGGGACAAAAGGATCCCCCTCCCACAATGATTGTGCCGCTGCAGTAAGAGATGGGAGGGGAGAACCTTCCAGAAGGAAAAGCAGGAAGAAAGCCCCGCGTCCAGCGCTACCCCCTCCTGGAAGGGTG